TGTTGTTGCAGAGTTGCTGTCTGTTTACTAGCAGTGCATTTTGTTCATTATATTTGGTGTGACAATCATTTCAAGTTAAAAAAATAGCTGATCCTGATTTGACTGTTTTGCGTCCTGGGGCCCGTTTCTCGAAGGTCCCGAAAAGTCCCGGAAAGCCATAGCAAATCTCAAACCTTATGCTTACAGAGCTGTTTTATTCACATATTCTAAATATGAACAGGTAGAGGTTCTCTTCATACAATAAGTTTCCGGGCTATTTTCCTCTCTGTTTTTAGATATGGATTAATTAAAAATGGCTTTGCGGGCCCGATTAGTTTCCGGGGCTTTCAAGAAACGGGCCTCTGGACAGACAGAAACAACAGTTTTATTTTTGCAATGCATGCAATCATTGATCATTTTTTTCATGTTTCTAATTTTTTTTTTCATTGCAGTGCAATCAAGGTGGCCCATACTGGGCAGACGATAGAGCAATCTGTGGAAAATGTTGTAAGCGCTGTCAGTGAAATTGCCAAGATCGTCCCAAGAGGCTGGAATAACATTCAGTCTTTAAACCTCAAAACATCTGACTCAATATCTCTTCCAATCTACACTTCACTGCCAGAGAAATCTCTGGTCATAGATGATACACAGCCACCAAAGAAAAAGAGAAAAATGGAGACTTAAAATGGAGTTTTGCGAGAAGCTTGTGAGCTAGGCGCAATAGCAAAACGATACAGACTCGATAAATTGTGGCATTTGTATTTGGGTTCAGTGTGCAAGACATATTGCTACCTTTAGAAGCCATAAATGGTACAATCAGCAATTTTTGAGACAAGAAAGATGACTGGTTCATTGTGACCTCACTGTATGCTGGGAAATTTCATCATGTGTCGTACATGTAGGTTTTGCAAAGACAAAACCTACTTACTACTAATCCGACGGTATATATCAATAAACTGTGATAACCTTTGTCACAAGTGTCCCTTGACCAAATTAAATGCAAACATGATAACGGAGGTTTCTACTTGTGTTATAGTCTTGTCATTTATGATTGCACAGCTCAGACTTGTGGGAGATAAATATCTCTTACTAACCGAATTGGAGGGCCGTACCGTAAGTTATGGACCTAGTTTTTTCCCCATCGATTTATTGCCCGCGCTTGCTATAAAAGTTAAGAGCACTTGGTGATAAATCACGAAACATTTTGGCAACAAACACAGCTTTAAATTTTAGCGGGCCGTATAGTAGAAACGGCCCGTTAAATTGACCAATCACAGCGCCCGTACTAAGTGAGAGATAAAGTAACGTAACAGCCATGCAGTGTGCGAGATTCGAATTATGGACCATATGCAACTGAAGCTCTCATAAGTGACCACCTCAGGGTCGAATAGGTTTTCATAACTAGAGATGGCAGCTTACGAGAATGAGCTCTTGAAAGTGACCCCTCTCTGAAACAATACCGGGTGGTCACTTACTAAGGCAAATCTGCTCAGCACAACAGAAGGGAAATCATCCGAAATAAACCATGTTACGCACGCCCTACACGCTAATGGTTATCCACCTGCCCTCAACTCCAGCATCTGAAACAAAAGCCTTCCCCGGAAATTATACCGTCACCGAAGGAATTTGATTGAAATTAAAGCCTCTCACGGTCCTTGTATATGTTCGTGATGTTACCGACAGAACCACTAGCCTCTTCGCAGGCTCGCCTTTGAGCGGAGTCACGTACGCGCGAGCGACGAACTGCGAGCCTGCTCGCAGGCTACACGGCCACTCATACCTTACAAGACCTTACTAGACCCCGCTACAAGAATTCCCTTCTCCAAAAGATTAGGCTTCCCATTGATCTTCAGAATATGGTACATAAAATTCCTTATGTCAACTGTCCTTGGTGCTACATTGGCGAAACTAGGCGGTGTTTTTCTACGAGCAAAAGAACATAACGGAATGTAAAAACACGAGAAAAAGGTTCTCGACAACACCAGTGTAACGGACAAAGAAAATTGTCAAGTTTGAAAAACTTAAGAATCATAGCACGTACACTGCAAACACTAATGAAGCAGACAATAACTCAAAGCTATGCCAAAACAATATCTATTCTTTTAAAATTAGCGCATTTGTTCCTTATTTATCCCTTGTTACCTTTTTTCACACTTTCGTTTCGCTTATATTTTTAATCTCGCGCTTTTACTGTTTGAGTTTTTAAAGGCTTTAGACTGTAAACGGAAAGCTTACGTTTTAAAATTCTTCCCAGAGAACGTTTTCACTCATAAATTATTAGCCAAGAAATAAAATAGATATATGTTGACTTTCATGGATTCCGAGTATTAAGCATGCAATACTATTGACAACAGTGAGTGGCGTCTGCTTTCCCAGAGCGTTTACAGTTACTTTGTGAATCTGAGTGAGTCAGTTTCAGTCAGTTTCGAGTATATCGCCGAAGTAAACTTTTTAACACTTTGATACAGCGATTTCAAATTGATTAGCTCTCAACTCAGTGTATTTTAACAACGGTATAAATTCGAGTATATCGAGGATAGAGCAACTTTTGAATACTCAGAACGATTTCAAATTGAGTAGTTATTCGATGAAGTTTCTTGTTATTCACTTGAAATAATAATTCAAAAGCGTGCATATAAAGAATGTTTGGCAAATTAGCATATTACAGCCTTAAATTAAGGTATGTCCGCCATTTTGAATAATCAAACACAGCCGGTGCCAGAAACTCGTTTGTCCAGTTTAGCTATGACGTCAGTGGTTCCTCATTGGCTCACAACCGAGCCTTTTGTTCTTTCGCTTTATAAGCGCAACACCACCCGGATGGTTGGGCGGCTATTTAACTCCATCACAGTATACACATCTATCTCAAATACTCCAGATATTTCCCGCCTGTATGCATGCATATACCTACAGTTCCTGCATAACATCCCTCAGCCTGCATCTGATTATCCCAGCATAATTTCTCGCCCCCAGAAATAACTCGATATATACACGGCCTCCCAGATATATACCTACACACTGCCTACATCTCATTAATCCCCCCATATTACCTACACAACCTGTATAACATTATATCTTGTTTGAAAGTTAAGTTCATTAATCCCCCTACATATATCTGCACTCTCCCCACATATACCTACACACATGTTACTTTAGAAGGTTTTTCAAAGTTAATGTTCATTGATCTCCTGTTTTTGAAAGTTAAAATCCAGTAATCTCTTGTTAAAATTATACTCATATTTATATTCTAACATTTGTCATACAATGCAATGCATGTGTTCATCGACTCAAACCACCAGAACACTACAGATCCTGATCCGTGGAAGAAGGTCCTGTATTGTGAGTCGGGTGGGTCGGGTGGGTTGTATTATTGACCATCTCTAAGTCCCGAGGTTCAGGGGAAGGATGTACCCTGGGTAGTGCGGAACAAGAGCAGAATATCATTGCCTTCACCTTCTCCCTGAATTGTTGATTTAACAAAGCGTAGACGAACGGGTTGACAGCGGAATTGAACAAGATCATTATGTTGGCGCAGGCAATTGGGACGAAACCAACGTTGTAGGATGTTGTGTAATGTAAGACGTAGACAATTGAGGCCGTGCCCCAGCAGATCCCAAATATGGCAGTGACAGCTACGACCATCAAGGTAACACGCTTCCGCACCCTAATGACACCCTATGTATGGAGAAGTACAAATCTGATCAAGATAGCATATCCGAATCGATCAATAAAGTTAATGTCAATCGTTGAAAAATACTTCAAACAGTCTTGTTTAAGTTTAGTGAGTTAAAAAACACTCATGGCGAACTGATACTGTTGGCAGTGAGCAGAAAAAAAGGAGATAAGTAAACAAAATTGCATAATGATCCCCTAACTTATTTTTGTTTTAAAGGCTCTTTTGGCGGGGCAGATTTTCTTTTCCTTTTAAAGGAGCTCAGTCGTGGTGTTTTGAGTTATTATGTCCAGGCAGAAAATTGCATTTAAACTGAAGGAAACCTGAAAATAGTATTTTACTAAGATAGAAAAACACCAAAGTGATTAAAGTAAAGCGAAAAGGGACAAGGACGGTCAAGGATGGAGAAAATTAACACGGATTACAATCAACGAACTTGAAAAATTTAGGTTAAACTTTTCAAGATGCGCAAACCGTGGCGTAGCTCCTTTGATCTGATTGTTTGAGCTTGCCAGTTGAGTGCGATTTGTCTTGTTAAAGTCTTCAGGTCCATACTGTATGGCATGATACGGCTATCGTGACACTGACCTTTTGTTGGCAGGTGAGTTGAGTGTCATCATTACGTTTGAACCACAAAGTCCGCACGACTTTGGAGTACAGAAAAACCATTATTGCCAAGGATAGATTAGTCAAAGCTATCCACGTAAGAGGGTAAGCCTTCTCCATCCACCGCTCAGGAAAGATTTCCACGCAGTAGTGACTGTTGTCCTGTGTCCCAATCTTCGTGACAAGGAACAGTGGAATATTGAAGATCAAGGAGAAGGTCCAAATGCTAGGAATAATAATCTGAAATGGCAAAGTGTCAACCTCGTAGTAGGAATCTTCATTATTGAAGACGCTAGGGCAAGGGTATATCTTGAAAAAATGCACCTCTTAGTTTCAAGTTCGCCCAATGACAAAAAATGCCTTAAACGTCCCATAGAAACATTAAATTCCAGGCAAGACGACCATTTGATTTCCGTGTATTTATAATAACCAAATGAAATTCACGAAGCGAGTTTCCCGAGTCACGCTGCTTTTGTGGTTCAAGAGCAAGTTGTTTAAAGAGAAGTGAAGATTCAGAGATGTAAGACTGCACCGGGAAAGTTATATAAAAAAGCGCTTCATTTAGGGATAGTTTTTTAAGTGACCTACCTTCAGTTTACGTTTTGTAAGCTCCCCTTTGTTACCAAGAGGATACAATACTGCATAATATCGTTCAACGGCGATTGCAGCTAAAGTACAAACCGAGGAGGTTGCTCCAACCCATGCAGTGATTCCAGCTGTCAGCAGTTTACATAAAACTGTACCAGTCCCACCGTCTGGGTGTGTGAGACTGAATTGAAAAAAAAATCTTGGGATCATAAAGGCGGCGTACAAGACATCGGCTACAGCCAGGTTTACAAGAAGATAATTTATGGAAGCCCTGCAGTATTGAAAAGCATTTAGTAAGTTCAGTTTTGTTAGGCTTACATGTGTCTAAGCAACTTTGATGTAACAATTTAGAATCACAATTCATCTTCTTATAATTATTCAGCAGGATTGGTAATAATTTGCAAAGCTTTTCCAACAACTTAGCGAGTGCCATTTTTCAATTTTGAAATATCATAAGAAGAATTTCCTACTTTTAACTCGTAAATTGCACGTCGTGTGCAACGACTCCTGAGGCAACCGACCGCAAGGTAACCGTATCTGTTTTTGTTTACTTTTTTCATTTTTTTCTTCTGTTGTTCTTTTCACCGAGAAAAGTAAGAATTAGAATTAAGCCTAGCGTGATGCGTGATAAACTGGGTTCGACTTCACGCCAGTTTGTGTACTCGACTGGGTCAGCTTACAATTTCCTCGTTCATCAGTCTTCGTTCAACGATGGTCTTAACATTTCGTCGCAGCAGGTCATTTCATTTTGTTTGAAGTTAGAATATGCCGCGCTTAATATAAAATTTTTCGCGAAAAGTCGGTAAGTTAGTAAAGATAATTCATTTCGTAGTATTGCCTAAGACTGAAATGGTCTAGTTCTTAATCAAAAATATTTTTGAAAGAAAACACTTTTCCATACGGTGTTTCCTTTTTTATTCACATTTACCGGCTTCAATTGAGATGGTATTTAAGAAAAATTGCGTGATATGAATTAAAGGGCCAAGCGCGTACTTTCTTTTCAACCTTTTATATCTTCATCATTTCACACTATAGCCAGTGAAAAGTATTATGGTAAAGAATATTTTCTTGATCTT